GCCAAAGTAATAGGCATGTGCCTCAGGAAAATTTCTTTGGTTTGGTAGCCAACTTTGTTGAATGTCTTTGGTTCTATAGCCAACTTTGTTGAATTTCTTTGGGTTGGTAGCCAACTTTGTTGAATTGTCAACATTGAAAAAAAAGAAGGAAAAGTATGTGCAAATTATCAAATATAGTAGGCTTTAGAGAGTGAGGCTTCGGCTATAAAAGGAGAGCTTCAACTCTCATTTCCACACACCAACAAAGAGAGAGAAAGAGTGAGGTTTCACAGATAAGGTATAAGAAAATAGTCTGTGAGAAAAATAGAGAGTGAGAGATATTGTAGTGATGTGAGAATATCAAAAGAGGGTTATTTCTTTTGAGTGTTATATGGTTTTTGGAGTATTTTAGTCGGACCTACAAAGTGTAAAATTCCTTGCCATAGTGATATCAGTTGCTCATCTCGGGGCCGTGATTTTTTCCCTTATTCAAAGGGTTTTTCACGTAAAAATTTTGGTGTTGCTGTCACTCTTTTTCTTGCTAATTACCGTATCTCGGTGCTATGTGACTATTCTGCTTTTATTTCTGTGAATATTTTTTTTGTAGGGTGTTTATTCCCAACAGGGATTACTACAGAATCAAATTATCCATACAAGGGAACTGATAGCACTTGCAAAACTAGAAAGGAATCCAACCATGCTATTAAGATTACTGGTTATGAAGATGTTCCAGCCAACAGTGAATCTGCTTTGTTGAGTGTTGTTGCTAACCAACCTGTATCCGTTGCCATTGATGCTAGTGGATCAGATTTTCACTTCTATTCTAGCAGTGTTTTTACCGGAGAATGTGGAACTAAGTTAGATCATGGTGTTACAACAATTGGATATGGGAAAACTAATGACAGGACAAAGTATTGGTTAGTGAAGAACTCGTGGGGGACTAGTTGGGGAGAGAACGGTTATATTAGAATGCAAAGAGGCATTGATGCTGCAGAAGGAATTTGTGGAATTGATATGCAAGCTTCTTATCTAACTGCTTAAATAGCTGAGAAGCTTTGGTGCATGGGAATTTGTTGTTGATTCTTCTTTAAACACTATTGTTGTTCACCTTGTTCATATTTTATGTGGTGTATCTATTAAGGTTTTTGTTATTTAAGATGAAATAGTCTTAAAATGAGGGTGAATGGGAAATGGAGGGAAAATGAAATTTTTGAGTAAAATTTTAAGTTTTCCCCTCTTGACAATGAGACATTGTCCCATATTGGAAGAGGAAAAGATTTTTGGTGGATATATATATATAATTGCTCTTCTTGTAGCTCTTAAAGAGTTAAGAAGAAAGCAAGCCTCACGCCGTCGTCGCTCGCTCGCTCGGCTTCGGCTTCGGCTTCGGATTTGGATTTGGTCAAATGATCGATTGAATGGATATGTTTCAATCCGTGTATTGACCACCAGCTGCAATAGCAGCCGCCTAATGCTCTTCCTACCATGGCCAAGTGCTTGCTCCACAAACAAGCTAGTGCATGCTCCACCATGGAGGATGGAGGGTCGTTCATCTTCAAAGCTGGCTGCTATATATATGTGCAGCAGCTGTTGAAGAAAGACACGAACGAAAAATGAAAACACCACCAAAACTGAAAACGCTCAACTTTGGCTATACATTGCACTCCTTCCTCTCAGCATTTCCATACGATTTTCTGAGTTTCTACTCCTTTGTTCTGCATTGTTTTAACTTCAAACAAAGCAACTGTAAGTGTGATTTGCTAAAATAAAATTTTTGAGTAAAATTTTAAGTTTTCCCCTCTTGACAATGAGACATTGTCCCATATTGGAAGAGGAAAAGATTTTTGGTGGGTATATATATAATTGCTCTTCTTGTAGCTCTTAAAGAGTTAAGAAGAAAGCAAGCCTCACGCCGTCGTCGCTCGCTCGCTCGGCTTCGGCTTCGGCTTCGGATTTGGATTTGGTCAAATGATCGATTGAATGGATATGTTTCAATCCGTGTATTGACCACCAGCTGCAATAGCAGCCGCCTAATGCTCTTCCTACCATGGCCAAGTGCTTGCTCCACAAACAAGCTAGTGCATGCTCCACCATGGAGGGTGGAGGGTCGTTCATCTTCAAAGCTAACTGCTATAAATATGTGCAGCAGCTGTTGAAGAAATACACCAAAACTGAAAACGCTCTTTGGCTATACATTGCACTCCTTCCTCTCAGCATTT